TACAGTCGCGTTGACTGAACGGGATTACAAGTTTTATCGACGACGAGCCCAGCTATATTGGCTTCGCTGCCTACGAGCGAGAATCATAAATCTCTTATCAATGGATACCTACAGCCTGGCGCGCGCGAACGGCGAAGACTCACTTTTGTATAAGCTGGTAAGGCCTACATATAGAGATAGGCTGTTGCGATCGAGCTTGCGCCAGGCCGCTAAATCCATTATATATCCGCCGAGACGAGAGTAAGAAGTGGCTTTTTCGTCCTCGACGTATAATAATAACGCGACATTCAATTACTTTAGCCGAGCTCCTTGAGCGGAGAGGAAATAGGAACAGAAAGAAAGAGCTGGCCTGAGAACGAAAATGTAGCCTATACGCGATTCTCCATTCTTTGGGCCAATGATGAACGAGCAAGTGCAGCAGAAGCAGCAACGTATTATAACGTATACCGGCCAATAGAGAAAAATAAAAAATAATTTTTTCAAAGGAAGTGGCAAACATAATGAGGTACGCGTATGAGCGCGTAAGAACGGGCAGCTGAATGAGAGAGAAAAAAGACCGAATGAATGCGTAAGAAGTTCATGTGTGTGTGGTGCAGTGCACAGAGGTGCGCAATTAGCATATATTCATATATCCCAGGTGCAATTGCGTGTACGTCTATCTTTGTTCTCGGCTCTGTTATTCTCGCTCGTGTTTGTACGTCGCACACGAACGTATATAAGCACGTGTGCCCATATCCGTGAAAATGAAATGCATTCCCGAGTGGATGTGGTATATACGCGTACTTAAAAGGTGTATAATGTGGCACGCCATGCGAGTATACGGTAAAAAGATACAAGAGAGAATTTTGAGGTTTATTAGGGTCGAGTGTGTCGAGCCAGCCAAGCGGCAGCAGCGAGCAGTTCGATCGATCGATATTTATGTATATAGTACGTATAACACGAGCTGTAGGTATAAGCAGTCACAAGACGCTCTAGCCTTTTTTTCTCTCTTTCTCTCTCTCTCTCGCGCTCGCCAAGCTATGGGTTGATTCGCGATGCTTATGCTAATGTCGTACATCAACGTCGTTTCCGTCGTAAGCGCGGCGAAGACGGAGGCGGCAACTGCGGCGGCGTCGATGCGATGCACGAGCTCAGATAAGTCTCTCTTTCACTCTCCCTTATACCAACTCTCTCTCTCTCATTCTGCATATATCTTACGAGGTAGGTAAATTTTCTTCGCGGCTATATAACCTACGCCTTCTTATGTACCAAGACCATTTCAGCATAAGTGCGCGCGCGCGGGGGTGCGCAGCTCGTTTTCTTACCCCGATAGACTTTCTAGCGAACGATTTACACGTAAAAAACATCGTGGCTTGCATGGCTTTTAGTGAGTATCGCGAAATTTTCACGGCCCCTTGAAATGCCGGCGCGCGCGCTCGCGTATAGACTAGCTCGATAACATGCCTCGGTGAGAACCTGCGAATTTATATTTATCTGAGAATTATTTTCAGTACGTACGCACCAGCGAGTTCTGTTTATTTTCCAATTTTACAAGAGTGCTTTTTACCGAGTAAATTTTCAAGTTAAAAATCGTCTCGAATTCGATCGAAATTCGAAAGCGTGCGCGCATTAATCACCGCAATGAATTTCAGCTTAAATTAAAATTTCTATGAGCACTTCATGCGCAGATCGGACGATAAATAAATCAGATATGTCTGGGGTAATTTAATTTTTTTTTCACCGATAAGAAGGCGTACACCGCAACTAGGCGTATATATATACGCGCTACGTTTGAGATCTCAAACTCGAGGTAGGTAAGGGGAAAAAAATATTCGTGGCAATTTTCCTCGTCGCAATCACGCCCGAGCCATGAGACAGGAGCGGAAAAAATCACGCTGGCCGACTTGTACGTATAGCGCTGCACGAGATGTTTCAAGGATTAACATTTTTCCAAGATAAACGCAAAGTTGAAGGGCTAAAATAATGAAGAATAATCACACACATACACACACAGACTAGTTGGGCGCTTATCTATACGTATAAAACGACGGTATTGCGCCGACGAGGCGAGGCACGTTTGAGGTAGTAACTCTCTTTACTAGTGTCAGTCAGAGCTACAGCGAAAGAAGTGTGTTGGTGTGCTACTCAGGAGGGTAGTGCAAGCCAAGCTAGATGGCTGCGCGTGGCGAGCTCTGATTAATTAGTTGCTACTCACCTGACCGACGAAAGCAGAAGGTAGCAACGTCGGTGGAGGCAGTCGCGTTAAAAGAAGTTGCTGCCCTCGGCTATCTTCACAATTAGAGATAGCTGCGCACGGGTTTTTACTCCTGTTTTTCTCTGACTATTCTTCATAGCGTATGTATACAGAACGGCGTTGGGCAAAAGAAAAAGCCAAAGACCAGCAAAGGCGCTAGCCGGTTAATTACTTCGAGTGTATTAAAACTTGAGAGCTTAAAGTGCCGCCACCGCTGCTACTGTTGCCTTTGCACGCGAGGCTCTATGTACACTCGCTCGATCTACGCGTATGATACACTGCGTACAATCAAAGTGTTATTGTGGTCAGAAATCGTACCAAAGTGAGAAAGAAAAACGAATACACGTGTGCGCTAATTGAATCATTTGTAGTAGGATACGCGTCACGTACAGTGGCATCATCAAAGCCGCAAAAGCTTCACGGAGCTCGTACTTAGCAATGAGCCGTCCCATCTTAACGTCGACCGACTATGACCCAAAAATAAACTTCAAGGATGACACTCCGGATGAAGATGCGGATGAGCTTCTTATGTGATTTTCTGTACAGAACACTTTAATTTTACTTTTTAGTCAGTCCTTTCTTTTTTTATAAATCTTTATCTTCAAAGAGAAAGTTTGGTAGGAGCTTAAAACATTTTTTTGCTTATTGATTTTAAATACGATGCAATTTACTCTTTTTTTCAAACTTCGAAATTTTTTTTGCTCTAAATGCTTGCCTTCGTTGCGTCGATAGAATTTGTGAAAAGCTTTTACGCTTTAACCCCAATTAGTCGATTCAAAGTTCGTTAAAATTTGAAATATCTAGTTCACAGCGAGCTCATTTATGCATTTAATTAACTAGTGATCTATTAATGGACTGCGGGTGCGTCCGTCATTTTTCTTTATCATCGATTCGTGTGCAATTTTGAATCTCTGCAAGTATAATGGCAGTGCAAGAGCAGAGAACAAATTCATTTAGTTCAAAATGAAAAATGACCAATCGAATAAGTTCCGATTAATATTGCACGAGAGTAACCACTATTTGAATCATGAACAAACGTTTCACAATGAATATTTTATTATTTACATTTTTAAATCGTTTTCAATATGAAGAATAGTTGTCAAAAGATAAGTTTATTTTTATATTGCAAATGATGAAGTGTACTTGTAAAGTAGTCAATATAGCTTCGTGATGGTGTTCTTTGCAACACCATAGCGAATGTGCATGCGAACAGCTATTTTATGAATTGTTTACTTTTTTTTCGTAAATAATTCTATAATTTATCTAGTACTTCTTTCGAATTAATTACGATAAGAGTCACGCAATAACTATGAAGTGGTAATTTAATATAATAAAGGAGTAGTTACAGCAATTATGTACTTTAGCATTCAATGTGAGCATCAAATGTATAGGGGATAGCTGAAGTACTTTAAACCATTTATTAATGCAGATACAGTGTTATTAATTTGATTGGCATTATTCAATTTCATTTTTAATTTCAACCAATATATATTTGCTCGATTCAAGTATATTCATATTTCAAAATTAAATTATTAAATTATTAAATTTCATTCATTTAAATCCACTACAAAATTATGTATTTTTATCTTGGTGAGCAGTAATCATAATTTTACAAAAATTTTACAACGAAACTAATCAATCCCCAGGTTGATTGATTTTCATTTTGTTGATTAGAAATTTCAAGAGAAAGTCGCATTAAAGAAGATGCATTAAATTAATGCATCCTCGATTGCAATCAAGATCAAATGAACAAGATGAGATAAGACTAAAAATTATAATAAAATAAAATACAAATTCATCATTGTCTGTTAAGATAATTATATCTTTTGTAACTTATAATTTTTACAAACGATAAAATATCCTATGAAAAAGTCGATAAAACCGAAACTTGAAATCTTTATCGTGATTGGGATAAAAATTTTAAATCGATTTGATTTTTTGTTACAAACATCTTACAGAATGTGACTCTTTGACCGCAAGTCTTTGATTGGCTTATTCTGATCTCGACGGACGTGACGGAGATGTCAATTGGTTTATATGTGACGAACTAGATTTTTGTTATGCGATTGTGCTCACAAAGACCGCAATAAGAAATCTGACGCATGCACCTCATTGACATTACATAGAAATATAGTGCGTTACAAAAATTACTTTCGTATCGTATACCGTAGCAGTTTTAAAAATGTTTTATTTTGTATAATCCGTGAAAAAATGTATTCAATATGTGAAATCTTGTCTTAGATGCAAATTGAAATTTCAACATTAATTAATATCCAAAAATCTTGGTTAAATCTGTTGGTTAAATAGCGTAAAGCAAAGTTTTATTTGATTTATTTTAATCAATTAAGGAAAAAAGTGTGACTTTTGACAAGTTTAAGTATACGATCAATCGCGAAGTAGCAAACTTGGATTATTATTTTCGTACAATTGTTCTCCCTCGGCCGTTTGTTCGATTCGATTGTTCTGATATAGCCGTCAATGCACGTATACACGTCGCTATTTCGATTTATGCATGCAAAGCTAACGAGCTGGCGAGACTGAATCAGCCAAGACTAATGAACGACAGGAAACAAGCGCGACTTATAAATAATCCATACATTAGAATAAACATGTCCAAATAAACTGGCTTTCGCTTTATATCGACAACTGCGGAGTTGTATTAACGCTCGAGAAAAGTAGGATAAACCCTAAATTAAATGGAGCGCGCGCGATGTGAGCGATAAATATCTCATATAAAGCTACATATATTATAGAGGATTGAACTTACCTCTCTATACGATTACTAACGACGTTTCAACGGTGACTGCTTGCAAGTTTGCCTTTCAGACAGCGGCAGAGATAACGAACTTAAAAATGTTCTATTAGCAATCGCTTCGGGCTTTTTATTCTATATCTGTGTTAGTTCGATAAAAAAGTGTCACGCGTCAAATAGAGGCACATCGAGTGCAACATTGACCGTGCATATGCGCAGCTTGTGAGCAGACCTAAAAATAACAACACGCCAACAACTTTTTCCGTATTATACAGCCTCAATAGAAGAAACGAAAACCTGACACTGCGCGACTGCTGCGACTGAAAAATTATAATGAAGAGTGCTCTTTGTTCGGCATCGTTGCCGGAGAGACGATTGAATCGGCGATCGCGTCGCAGCGTTGACTAAAAATTGACCGAGCGCGCCGGTAGCGTCCTTATTCTCCTTCCCACGTGCTTGCACATACACGTATTCACACACATTATATCTGTATCGCATTTATTACGAGATTCCCTCCCACTTTTTCTTTGATGGTATTATATAGTATTGCTCGAGACGAGCTACTAACGTCGTCGTGAGTGCAGCGTACATACGACTCGGAGCACTTACAGCATTACTTCGCTGCGCATATTTTTAAATAATAACATCGCCGCGTTTCAAAGATGTATGAGTAGGTCGAGAGCTGATTGAGATGGTGTATTACGTTGGCAACGAGCTACAAATTCAAACGTTTGAACATTTCCAAAGCGAGCTGCACTCAAAATCGTTCGTTTCAAATCTCTCCTTTTTAGGTCCTGCCATCGTCTTCTAAATTAATATTCTCGAGTCTGATTTATGTAGAAAATCATCGGATCAAACACAGAAAAACACATTACATCTCAAAGCCCATTGAAACTTTTTTATTTCTTCTTTATTAAAGAATTTTTGTGCCATCGACCGCAAAGGTTGCGTGATTCACACTGCTGCGTGCGTGCGTGGTCTCCAACTTTTTTTTTGGTGAGCATGCTGCATGATGTACGTCATTCAAAGTTGCCAGATTCGCTCGATTCGCAATTTTCACCATTTCGGTGTCATGTCGCAAATTCTTGTGGGCCACGATATCAGTTATTATTATCGAATTTGTTTTTCTTACTCTTATAGTGTAACCCAGGTAATGCGTGCAGCTCTGAACGGAGCTGAAATGAATCGTTGAAAAATACCTCGCATGGTGCTCAATAACATGGCTATGCTCTCGTGTGCGCCAGTCGCGCACGTGTGTAATTTTATTCCTCCGTAACTCGAGACGTGCTTTATGAAATAAGTATAGGTGCTTTAATGTCAAGTGTTTTCGCATATCCGCGTCTCTTTTTCTTTTCCATATTATTGTCGTCGTGGTCGCGGACAAACAACGCGAGCTTACAGCGCACTATTGTTTCGAAATTTTGCGCCGAATCATAGCTCTCGCGCTCGCGCACGCCCGACTGTAAACGCTCAGAAATTTCAATGTTTTCAATACGTATTGTATACGGAAAAAGAAGTAGCCGATTCATACTTAACTTTGAAGGTAATTACGATTCTGTTCGGTTTTGCAGCGCTGATTTAATTACGATGGAAAAATTAAAGATTCGTCACGACGCTTATTATACTTGGCGAATCTCCCGAGTTAGCGCGATATTGATTTTTCGCACTCGAGAGTCGAGTGTAAACAAATAGAATGCAGTGTACCTATAGCTCTGACCGTAAGAACGGCTATTATTATCTCAAACGATTGTTTTTTTCCTCAATGCTATAAAACACAGTTTACTTCCAGCAGAATCACTATAGGCTTATCGCATTACTTAATGAATGAGTCTCGGTGTTTTTTGTCGTTGCTTTTTTCGTGAAAAGAATCGATAATGAATTTTTTGCATTTTTCTCGATCATGTCTTATTCTATCATTAACGCTGCATCGGCAGGGGAAAATACGTTTTTTGGAAAACAAAGATTGAAATTGCGATCAAAAAAGCTCGTTTGCTTATGTGCTTAGAAAAATAGATAAATAGGGTGGCAGCTATTATCAATGAGCACATCGCGTTTTAGGTATCATCCTAACCTCTACGAGTCTCGACCCTATATGTTCTCTCATATATATTTGTGTGGCAAACTGCGATGCGCGAATACGACTTTCGGGGCTCATACCTGATATACAATTTTTCTGTAGTCGTTGATGCCAGAGCGATTCACCGTGTCAGCAGTTGTGTAGGCCGCTCAAAGTTCGATTCTACGCCAGTAGATTGTCAAAAAAAAGCTGACCACGACACTGCCTTGTTTTTTTTCGTTTGTTTGTATGGTGAGACACGTTTTTGGTAGCCGCCTTAGCTTTCTGCCCGAGCAACACAGTACAGCACACATCAACGCACCTACACACGTTGTTCCAGACGATGTAACACTGCGCCCCTTGTGTACGGCGACAGTTTCGAACGCGCATGCGCCTGTAAGATGCTCTCTTGCAGCAGACTACGCGCTTCGCTGTCTTCGCCGAAAGGGTGGCTTGTTTGCAGGGGAGCTTTCACACGCGAACAGCTGTTCGCTCTACATTGGAGCGATCTTTTCGTTTTTTCATTCAATCATCTATGTTTATGAGTATCAAGCATTTATAAAATTTTAAATGAAATCGTTTATGTTGAAAAAAACATTCAACATTTCAAAAGACATTACATATTCAGATGAATTCGTTTTTCCTGTGCTTCAATCATCGGAGTTTTTTTTTGAATATACTAAAGCTGCTTTAATCTTTCGACGACAAGAACTCGTTTATGCGAGCTTTTATTAACATCGATAAAATGTATCCAATTTCAAAGCCTGAGGCAAAATAGCATCTCATATATTTTTTCTGGTGCCATTCGCTAATTGATATAACGAGTATATATTTTTTTTTTCGCAAAGTTGGATGATTCCTTCAAAGTTTTTTATTTTGTAACGCTCGTAAACGTCGCAAGGTTTTATGAGTTTTTTTCTTTTTGAAAGAGCATCAAGCATAAAGACAGAGAGAAAGGATTAAAACCTCAATCATCGCGCGAGTAATGAAGAAAAGCTCTAAAAAGACATCCATAAAGATGTCAATTGGCAAATAAGGATCGTTGCAGTAGCAGCAGCAACATCGTTAACAAATTGCAAGCGAAGAGGAGGAATTTTCTTGTTTCGTCTCGATGATCATTATATATGCAGATTGAATACGCGACAAGCCAAGAACAATCTCAACGCCGGCACAAGGCCATTATATATTCAACAAGCCACAATACCCACCTGACGTGTATACATTGCCAGACATGCACGCACACACTAACGCGTACATTATACCAAGAGACTCTCGATAAAAGCTACGTCGACGCCGATAATAGGAAGCATCGATTCAGTCTTGATGGTGATTATGTTTGGGATCTATTTGTGTAAAAGTTGACGATGATAAAGGGCTATATGTGGGCACATCGCCGCTGCCGCCACCACACACAACAGCTCATACATAAAAGCAGCGGTAGCGGCAGCAGCAGAGCCATCAGGTGCCATCGACTCGAGTACAATAGTCGTCACGGCGGCTTTCATCATCAGCCTCGATCTGCGCGTACGCATTGAATACAGGACGTGCGACGACCGTTGATGCTCCGTTAGGAAAACCTGCGACTTTCCTATACCTATACGCGTATCAATGGGGCTAAGACCGTATACAAGAGTACTTGGACTATAAATCAAATTTGTCGCAATTGTGTTGTGGCGATTTATCAATAAATTTCAATTTTCTACTGCAGTGAGTGAAATTTATGACGAAAAGTAATAGTATGTATTACAAACATTCGTGAGAAAAAGACAATGCTGTTTACAAGCAGAGCGTTAAAATAAGCCCCAAAAAAAAGATTTTGAAACAGTAGAAAAATAATATGTATAGTTCTGCGCTAGAAAGTTTGTACTTGTTTGATACAGTTTGATTGAGAATAGGTAAACATATTTAAAACAATTTTTTAACATTTTATGTTTGATTATTTAGCAAAAGAAATGAAGATCCAAACGATGTGAAATTCTTTCCTTATTTATGATAAATGAGGCTTGTGTGTTGGGGTGTTGATATATGTTGTTGTAAAATACACATTCGCATACTCGAATGCGTGTGTAAACGAATGCATCAAATAGGAGTACATCGAGTAAAAGAAAGAAAAAGAGTATTTGAGAGGATGAGAGGAAGAGCGAGAGAGAAAGAGTAGTAGTTGCCGCTGCTGCTCTTTGTACTCGAATGTTTGATTGATATATTCTCTCTCTCTCTCTCGGCGGTGGTACGAGTAGAATTTTGCACTCGCAATAACTCACCGCGAGGTACCCGTGAGCAATCGCGTTGCACTGCAGCTCTTGTGCGTTTGGCTGACTTACGAGCCGCGCCGCGCGAGCTTTTTTTGCTCTCTGCGGTGAACTTCATCGATATATAGTTCCGCAAACGACTGGTCGAGCTTTAGCAGTGCCGGGCACTGCTTCGTCGTTTTTTATATACTGCGCACACGTACGCCAACCAAAACGCGCTCGGCAGCATCGCAACGTAGGCTCTTCTGCTTCGATGCCAATTGTTTTGTTTTGCGCGTTTTTTTTGCCCGCCGTTGATGCACCTCGGCCTGACACGCGGTTTTGTCCGCAGCTTGAATGATCGGCTTCGACAGTCGTGGCAGGTTTCACGAACGCGCACAGCTGCATCTCTGCGAAAGCCAAAACTTTATTTTTTCACCCAAAAATTATGACTCGCGTCATTGTTAACGAAATCAGTTATTCGTCGAGCTCGCGAGACCGTAAATATTTTCGGGGTCGCAGCCCCACCGTCCTCGTAATGGAGCGATCAAGTATAAATAAGTCAATGATTCGTCTATTAAAGATTTGCTCGTATTGCTCGATGAAATATTCACGCTTTATATGACAATCGTTGTAGATGAATAATTCGAAGAGCATCATAAAGTAGAGCTCGGTCATAATTTCCACCTGGGGCTTTTGTGCATATGTGCCAGAGTGTGATGACCTTTCAAATCTACTTGTTTGGACGAAAAATATGTTTATCCAACGCATATCTCAACATGCAAGAGCTGCCGCCACGTAAAGCCAGTGTGCATAACAAGAGAGCCCGAATTAATTAAATATAGCATCGTTTGTGCAGATCGGATGATGGACGACGAAGCGCATCTACGAGCAGCTCAGCTATACGAAATCTGCAGAGCCGATTTTCGCTCAAATAATCACGAAGCTCGGCAGCAGCAACAGCACAGAAGCACCCGCCCCCTCGGGGGGCTCCGGATAGCAGCAGCTCGAGCGCGTACTTCTCTCTCTCTCTCTCTCTCTCAAAGCATGCCTTTACAGCCAGAAAAGCTTCGCGTCCAACATAAAGGACCTATGGCTATATGCTAGCCAAGAGCATGAGCTTTTAGAGTGTACACGGTGTGTTTGGTTGTACGCG